CCAAGTAGCTGGAACTACAGGCATGCTCTACACGCCCAGCTGATTTTTGATTTATTGTAGAGATGAGGTCTCGCCAAGTTGCCCAGGTGGGTCTTGAACCCGCAGGCTCAGGCAATCCACTCACCTCAGCCTCCCAGGACATGGGATTATAGGCTGAGACACCGAACCCAACTGTTTCCTCTTCTTATAAGGATACCGGTCATGCATGACTAGGCTTACCCCTGTGACCTTATGTCACCTTAACTTCCTCTGTGAAGACCCCATCTCCGAGTGCAGTCTCATTCTAAAGTACTGAGGGCGAGGACTTCAACATGGGTATCTTGGGGAGGATTGAGTTGAGTTCCTGATGCCTACTTGGTCACATTTATTTGTAACCTCAAAACCAACATTTACAGAGCTGTCATGGTACCATAGACATGTGTATGGTGCTGAAAGATTTGTCTGCCTACTTGCTTCAGCTCTCATGCTGAAGTGTGTCCATTTTGAGGTCTACTTAGCACTGTGTTTTTTGCTGCTATTGCTGTTTCAAATGTCCTCAGGTGCAGTGAAGACTTAGTGTCCTAAGTACGAGGCTGTGATATAGGCTGAGTCTGACTGCTGCTGGGCGTGAGTTCAATGCTAATGAATAACAGTGTGTCCTACATAAGGTGTCATTGTACAGAAACATACATAATACAAGGCTACATGTTGCTCGGTTGATGAGAACATTGTGACCAGAGGCTGACAGTGACCTAAGCTGTATTTCCCCAGAGAGAGAGCTCAGTGTTTACAGTGCTCACAATTCAGTGCTCACAGCATCTTTTTAATTTAATTTAATTTAATTTTTATTTTTTGTAGAGACGAGGTCTTGCTATGCTGCCCAGGTTGGTCTCAAACTCCTGGGCTCAACAATCCTCCCGCCTCGGCCTCCCAAAGTGCTGGGTTAGAGGCGTGAGCCACTGCACCTGGCTACAGCATATTTATTTATTTATTTATTGAATTGGAGTCTCACTCTGTCGCCCAGGCTGGAGTGCAGTGGCACGCTCATGGCCACCACAGCCTCAGTCCGCTGGGCTCAGGTGATCCTTCTGCCTCAGCCTTCCAAGTAACTGGAACTACAGGTCTGTGTACCACATCTGGCTAATTTTTTTATTTGTTGTAGAGACAAGGTCTCACCAAGTTGCCAAGGCTGGTCTCAAACTCCTAGACTCAGACAATCCTCTCATCTTGGCCTCCCAAAATGCTGGGATTACAGACTTGTGCCACCATGCCTGGCTACAGCATTTTTTTTTTTTTTTTGAGTTGGAGTCTCACTCTGTCGCCCAGACCAGAGTGGAGTGGCTGCTCCTGGCCACCGCAGCCTCGACCTGCTGGGCTCCGGCGATCCTTCCACCTCAGCCTTCTGAGTTGCTGGAACTACAGGTGCGCACTACCATGCCCAGCTAATTTTTTGATTTATTGTAGAGACGTGGTCTTGCAAAGTTGCCCAGGCGGGTCTCGAACCTGCAGGCTCAGGCAATCCACTCACCTGAGCCTCCCAAAGACGCGGGATTACAGGCTGAGCCACCGAGCCCAGCTGGCTACAGCATTTTTAAAGAGCATCATTACCCTAAGAATTGATTGCCAGAACTTAGCCCTCAAAAAGAAGAGACATATTTTGTACTGATGTTACTTAAAAGGTCAGGCCTGGGAGGCAGGAAGAGGACACTGAGTTTTTGTTTGTGCCTTTGTTTTCCGTAGACTCTGTGCCCTCAGTGAAGTGGCTGTCAGTTCCTTCCATGAGCTGCCCACATACTGTGGCTTTGAAGCCATCTTCACATGAATTCAGAAGTCCAGGCCTACGGCAAAAGGGTCTTGTTTCCCCAGAATCTGGGTGGGGAGACAGGACTCTGCTGTGTGAATGCCCCTATTTGAGCATGTGTTTACTTGTTTATTTTTTTGTTGTTTGTCTCTACCCACTAGAATATCAATACCACAAAAACAGGGAGTTTGTATAAAACAGCATGTGCTGTGTAGACAGAACTCTACCCATGTGGATCAGTGAGTGAAGACGTTTTTCATGCAGCAGGCTCTGGGTCGGCGTGCAGAGTCAGGAACCTGCTTGCTCCGAAGGCTGCCCCTTTAGGCCCTGCCACCCCTGAGGCAGGACCTTGAGACTGCTGAACCCACCAGGCCCCAAAGGACGTGGGGCAGGAGTGTAAACAAGGGCCTGGAAGACCCCTGACCCTGTGTCTGGAGGACTTCACCCTGGTCCTCGGTAACCCTGAGCTGTGTAGCCCAAAGAACGAGGCCTGTGCCCGGCCCTCTTTGGTGCCTCCTTCCTGCCTCTGTCCTTGCCTGTTTGACCAACCACTTGCAGGGCCAGATGTGGACGTGAGGTTCCCTGCTCCCTGTCAAACATCAGGGGGCGCCCAAAGACACAGCCATCAAGATAACTCATGTATTCATGCAATATTAATTTCTCTCTCTTTCTTGAGAGGAGGTCTCACTATGATTCCCAGGCTGGTCTCGAACTCCTAGGCTCAAACAGTCTTCCCATCTTGGCCTCCCAAAGTGCTGGGATGACAGACATGAGTCATCACACCTGGCCCTCCATGCAATGTTTAAACACATGAAAATTAATGCCCCCAAATTTTGTGGTGGACGAACTTGTCAAACTTTTAGTTAAAGCCAAGATGAGAATGACTGTCTTCTCCTCCAGTGTCAGCATGGCTCTGTCCAGCTCTGACCACGTGCCTGGCCTGGTGGGTCCCTCCCCATGGAGAACATGGCTCACAGGATGCTTATTGCTGTCTGGAAGGTCCCTCCTCCTCCTCCCCACACCCCAGGAACCGGCAGCCAGCACTGTGGGGCCACCCGCTGCCCTGTTCAGCCCCCCATATTGCTCAGATGCTGACCTCCCCGCATACCTCCTGGACAGGTGGCCTGAAGCCCTCACATTGAAGCTCCTTTTTTCTTCCAAGCCGAGTGACCTGGGTATGCAGCTGAATCTTTCTAGCCCCTTTTCCTGCCCTGGGAAGCGAGGATGTGCTGGGATTCTTCCAGGTGGCTCTGAGCCCCACCAGGCAGTGGTCACTGGGCCTGACAGGTGCAGGTCTGGGATGAGGGAGGTTCCCATCACCACCCCAGTGTTCGTCAGCTGCACCCTGATTTGGCGTCTCGGGGAATTGCTCCTTGGGAACTGTGAACTTGCAGGGCAGAAGCTGTCATTTCAAGATTTTTCGGGCCAGTGCTCTGCACAACAGCTGGTGCTCAAAAATGCAGGGAGGAAGGCTCTGGGACTGAGCACTGCTCATCACAGAGGGGCTGTCTGGCAGTGACTCTAAAGTCCCTGTTTCAACACCAGTTCCACCAGGGATGTCAGGTCCCTTTCTGCTCACATACTGAGGGTCTGCCCTAACATGACCTAAGTCCACGGGCCTTCTGCATTTGCAAAGATCCTTCAGTGCTCTCTCTTTCACTCTTTTTTTTTTTTTTTTGAGTTGGAGTCTCACTCCGTCGCCCAGACTGGAGTGCGGTGGGCTGCTCCCGGCCACCGCAGCCTCGACCTGCTAGGCTCTGGCAATCCTTCCGCCTCAGCCTTCCAAGTAGCTGGAACTACAGGCGTGCGCTGCCATGCCCGGCTTATTTTTTGATTTATTATAGAGATGAGGTCTCACCAAGTTGCCCAGGCGGGTCTTGAACCCATGGGCTCAGGCAATCCACTCTCCTCAGCCTCCCAAAGGCGAGGGATTACAGGCTGAGCCACCGAGCCCAGCTCTTTCTTTTTTTGAGACAGGATCTCACACTGTGTTGCTGAGGCTGGAGTGCACTGGTGTGATCATAGCTCACTGTAGCCTCAAACTCCAGGGCTCCTCTCGTCGCAGCCTCCCGAGTAGCTGGGATTACAGGTGTGTACCACCACATTTGGCTAATTTTTCTTTTTTTGTATTATCAGGACAGGGCCTCGCTTTGTTGTCCAGGCTGCCTGAGTGCTTTGGGTTTGCCTTTATCATACAAACATGAGTTAGGTACCGACTAGAAGCTGAGGTAGGAACTGGGGCAGCCCAAGGAGGAGCAAGCAACTTCTCTCAGTCTGGAATGTACATCAAAGCCAGCCCGGGAAGGGCGTGGAAGCAGTCTCTTCCCCTGCTGTGGTGGGACATAAACTAGTATAACATGCCCCGAAGTTGAGTTTACCAAAAAAACATCAAAAGCCTTAGAATTGAGAGTTCCCTGACACTTGGCAATAACTGGACAAGGACTAATTCCTTGCTGATGTCACCACCCCGGTAAGAGCAGCGGGGCTCAACAGCCTGGCGTGGCCTTGCTGTGGAGGCCGAGGCTTTGCAGAGGACAAGGTCTCGAAGTGTGTGCAGGATGTGGGAGTCCCATATGCACAAAGCCACACCAGGGTCCCCACTGGACATACGCAGGCCCCTGGAGGATGAGTAGGCAATGCCACAAAGCCCCCTGGATACTGAAATCACCAGCACTTATGACTTCTTCTCCATCTTTCCTGTCTTCCCTAGGGGTTTTACAGGTGTGCATAAATTTTATAATTAGGAAGACGTAATAGAGGTAGTTTGTCTTTTGAAGAACAACTTGCCTAGGAGCTACGAGGTATTGGGGATGACTTGTCTAACCTCTATGCCTCAGTTTCCTCATCTGTGAAGCAGGGTTATGAACTCCCCATCCCAGGGTGGCTGTGAGGACCACACAGGACAAGGTGTGTGAAGAACCAGGGTGGCTGGCACGGCGAGCCCACCCAGGATCTGGGAGATGAGACACCCCATCGTCCTCCAAATTGAGTGTAGAGGACAGAGCTCCTCGGGGGTGTCTGCCCTCCTGGCGGCCCCAAGGCGACCAGGCTGGCCTGGGTGGAGTCCAGGCCTCTGTGGCAGTCAGCTTAGTGTCTCCCGGGCTGGGGCGGGCGCTGGGCCCAGGCGCGTTTCTGCTGACTGGGCAGCCTTCTTCATGAATCATGCCTTTCCAGAGAAATCCCTTAATGCCCCCATTCTGCCAGTGCCGTATATAGGGAGGGCCCGAGGCCCAGCTCCTCACTGCACTGCCCAGAGGCCCTGTCTTGACTCCTGCCAGCCTCCGGGTTCCTGCAGTGCCGAAGCTGAACATGGACGTCACCATCCAGCACCCCTGGTTCAAGCGCGCGCTGGGGCCCTTCTACCCCAGCCGGCTGTTTGACCAGTTCTTCGGCGAGGGCCTCTTTGAGTACGACCTGCTGCCCTTCCTGTCATCCACCATCAGCCCCTACTACCGCCAGTCCCTCTTCCGCACCGTACTGGACTCTGGCATCTCTGAGGTAAGGACCAGGATGGAGGACAACAAGGCGCTTAACAGGGTGCTATGTGGCCACTGGGGTCTTGTCTTGCTCTCTGGGGCAGGTGGCCTAGCCCCAACTCGAGCGGGTGCAGAGGCTGGGTGGAAGTCCTTATCCCCAGCTGCCACCACATGCCAGAGCATCCTGGCTACTGGGGTGGGGTCAGGAGAGGAACCCAGCCCACACTAGTCCTCTCCTCCCTCAGCTCATGACCCGTGTGTGGTTTGTAAAGTGCCAACCACACGTGGAAATCACGGGAACGGTCCCACCAAGGCAAGTCCAAGGGTGGATGCGAGCACTCTGGACCCACCGTTCTCCACATCGCCACTTCTGAGTCCAGGAGCAGTCCTGGGTGAGGGTGGGAATGCCACCCGAGGTCCGAGAGCAGGGATCTCCTAGCATGGCCCTGGGCGAGCTCAGCCGGGGTCTGCCAGAGCCCAAAGGAGAGGCAACGAGAGCCGTTGGCCTCCCTGAGCCACAGGGGAGCAGGACAGGGTCTGTAGTTTTGGAGTTGCAATCTCTGAAAGCCACAAGGCTCACCAGACCTGATACTGTAATAGCCAGCTCTGGGAGCAAAGAACCTGAATGATCTGAGCCATGTAGGGAGAGGAAGCCAATGTGGAGGAGCTTTGTGGGAGGCAGGGGGTCAGGCAGGCTGCTTCTGCAGGCAAGGTGGCTCTAAGCGCAGTGACCTCATTCCAAATGCTCAGGCCAGCCTGCCAGCCAACCCATAGCCAACCCATCAACTAACCCCTAATGAGCCAACCAACCCATAACTAGCCCTAAACCATAATCGGCTAGTCAGCCAGCCCGCAACAAGCTAACCAGTCTATAATCAGTCACTTGATCATAACCAAACAACCAGCTAACCCACAGGCAGCAGTCACCCATTACCCACCAGGCAGTCAACCCCTCCCCTGACCCCTAAGGTGTGAAGATGAGCCGAGGGTAGTGCTTGTTAACCAAGGTGACACAGTCCTGGTCCCTAGAACTCTCTGTCCTACTTGATACATGGAAGAAGATGCCAGCAAGTGACCCAGGTGTCTGTCCTGACAACTGGGGACCCAGCTGGTCTCTGCCAGCTGCCACATCCCTTCCTGAGTGGCAGCCTTTGGGCAGCTCCACACTGGATGTTTGGGTTTTAGGTCCGATCTGACCGGGACAAGTTCGTCATCTTCCTGGATGTGAAGCACTTCTCCCCGGAAGACCTCACTGTGAAGGTGCAGGAGGACTTTGTGGAGATTCATGGCAAGCACAACGAGAGGCAGGTAAGCTGGGGAGCCATGATGACCACATCTGGGGGTTTCAGCCCAGGAGAGGGAGGCTCATGGCATCCGAAAATTGGACCCAGCTTCTCCTGGAGAGAGGAGTTACATCAACCAGAGCACAGCCAGCCTTTCCCAGTGATGGTGGTCACTGTTCCTGGGTGAATGTGACTCAGGGTCCAATTCCCCAGCTGGAGCACTGCTCCCAGCTGTCACAGGTCCATCTGGGTCATCTGGGTGACAGGGGGGCTTAGAAAGGACCCAAGCATGGGGTGCACCCAAGATGGCAGCCTCTAACCCACACACGTTCTTATATGCACCTGCTCAGGAAGTCAGCCTGTGATGACCATACAGCTGCATCACAGAATCTTCTGACACTTCACATGCCTCAACATGGGCACCTCTCATGGCCCTTTGGGACCAGTGTCCTCATTATCCCCAAGGTCATGAGCATCAGAGTTGAGACATAAGGACCTCCTGGGTCCCAAAGTGGATGGGCAGGGCCTGTCCACAGGCAGTCACCCCTGCCATTGTCTCTTGCTCCTTTGGAGATGCTCAGGTCTTCGTGTCTCCATGGGGTTGAGGGAGCCCTGGGCCCTGGAGCCCCGGGCCCTGCAAATGGGCTGTCCCAGGCAGACACTGCCCACAGGGGCTGGAAGGTAGAGAGGGGGCCCTGAGTGTGGAACATCAGCTCAGCCCGAATCTTGGTTTCTTCTGACAGAGGGTCTTCTTTCAATGGCTGGAGGAGGCAGGGCTTGGGCGGGTGGGGAGGACACAAACTTCTTATCCACAGCCCCTTTCTTCTCTGGGCTAGGGGAAGTCCCACAAACTGTTTTAGTCAGTGTAGCCCAGAATATTAATTCTTCCTGGAGCTCTCTGCACCTGGCGGAGAAGGAGATGGGCCTAGGAGCTGAGTTTGTGGTTTAGGGCATCCCGGAGGAATGAAGTGTTTTGTCCACGTGGCTATCTGACTTGTTAGGTTGGATGGGAGAGACCCAGGGCCTGAGCAGCCTCCTGGGAAGGGAAAACCTGACTAAGGTGCAAGGCCAGGTTCAGGAGGCTTCCTCCAACTTCAGAGTGAAGCCAGGGGAGTGGAGAGTTGGCCCCAGGCAGGAAATGGCCCCAGGAAGGTCATCTATAGATGAGGGTATCCATTTATGAATCTCAGGAGAGGCCCTGCATGGGATACTCCGGCTGTCCCCCAGCCCTTGTGAGGCACCCAGAGGCTGGCCACCTCGTGTGGTCAAGGAGGGGCCTTCTCTGGCGTGGGGAGTGGCAGCGGCCTTCAACTGGGGCACCTCTGACCCTTCCCTTCCCCTCCCCCCACCCAGGATGACCATGGCTACATTTCCCGCGAGTTCCACCGCCGCTACCGCCTGCCTTCCAACGTGGACCAGTCGGCTCTCTCCTGCTCCCTGTCTGCTGACGGCATGCTGACATTCTCCGGCCCCAAGATCCAGTCCGGCCTGGACGCCGGCCACAGCGAGCGAGCCATCCCCGTGTCACGGGAGGAGAAGCCCAGTTCCGCGCCCTCGTCCTAAGCAGGCCTTGGCCTCGGCTGCCACCCCCTGCAGCCCCCGACCCATCCATCCGGGGGACCACGGAAAAGGCGTGGTGTTTGTCTTCCTTGCTTTCCTTTTTCGTTTCCTTCTCATCTTCTCAGATGGATGAGGGTTTGAGAGAGTGGCCAGAGAGCCCAGGCCTCGGGGTGGCCCACCTTCCAGCCCCAGCCCGTCGGGGACGTGAGCACACCTCACACTTGTGCAGACAACAACCTGGGTGCCGAGAGGCTAGAGGAGAAGGGTGACCAGGCCCCAAGAGGACCCCTGCTGGGCACCCGGAAGGGCTTCTGGGCTCCAGTTCAGCCAGGTGCCTCCTGACACCGAGAGCAGACTCCCTCTGCAGCCGGCCTTGACCATGCTTCCCAGGCACCATGAAGTCTGCCGGGCCGAGGTCGTGTACCCTGGGGCTCTCGGCGACTGGCCTCTCTCAGACCGTCTTCCTCCAACTTTCTTCTCTGTAGTGCCACTCCTGGAGACATCTGGTCACCAGGAGAGTACAGCCCGTGGCAGTCAATAAAGAGCAGGTGACACAAGCAACTTGCCGTCTGGTTGTGCTATCTCCATCAGGGGACTCCGGGGCCGGGGGAGGGGCACAGGGGAAGGAAACAGGATCTCCTGCTCTTATTGACCCCAGACGCCTCTGAGTGACTGGGGCTCCTGCATCCCCTCCTCCCTCCCAAACTGAAGTCCCTTGGTGAAACCTGCCTGTGGGAAGGAGAAAGTGTTTGGGGTGGAGGACTTTCCAGGGCCTGGGGGAGAACGTGAGGGGAAGGGGACGCTGGGGCCGGGGTTACAGGCCAGCTCTGCCTCTTACCTTCCTCTGCGGGCTCCCTCCTGCTCCTCGGTGATGTGCTTTAAGGACACACCTGCTCTCGTGGGGCCTGAATTCGGCCACCCCTGCTGGGCAACATGTTGCAGGCCCTTGCTGGAGGCTGTCTGGTTCACTCTGCCCCCTCCCTGGCCCTGGCCCTCGGGGGCTTCTGGTGACAGGGCCTGGGTGTCCCCTGCAGCACCTCCACCCAAGGTTGGGCTGGCCTCTTGCTGCCCCGACATCCCAATGGAGGAGGCCTGGAGGACCTGCGGCTCTCTGACGTGCCTGTGACAGGGCATAGTGGGTGACTGGGGAGGTCTTTGGGGAGGAAAGCCCACAGGCGCCATGGTGGACCTGCGCAAACTGCCAGGCCCAGTGTGTGTGGCGGGATGTGTGTCTGTGTATGGTGTGAGGAGGCTGAGGGGAGGCCAAGGCTGTGGGAAATGGGATCCTGATGACCCAGCAGGACCTACTGGCATCCCCCTCCTGGGAGAACACGGGCACGGGACTTCGGAATAAGAGCCCAGCCCAACAGGCAGAGGAGAGTGTGGCCATGCAACTTAAGGTGACAAGCGCCATGAGCCATGCCACCACACGCCACACACCACACACACTAAGACACAGTACACACACATGCATACACACACATCACATACACATCACACCACCCCACACACCACACACATTACAAACACACTACACACATGCGTACACACACATCTCACACACATACAAGCCACACCCATCACACACCACACGCCACATGCTACATACCACACACTACAAACACATCACACATAATGCATACACACATCACAAACATACACGTCACACCCACCACCCACCATATGTCACACTCCACACATCACACATACTACAAACACACTACACACATGCACACACACACCTCACAGACACACATGCCACATGCACCACACACACCATGCACACACTATAAATATGTAGATGCACATACCGCACATATACCATACATCACACTCACCACAAACACACCAAACATACATGGCTACACACACATCACAAACACACGCACTATATATGCAACACACCACACTCCACATACATCAAATTTCATACACCACACACCACAGATACACACCATACTCACATCACATTTCCACCATGCACTATGAACAGACATACCACATATACCACCCACAGATACAGACATGCAACACACATGCCCCACACTCCACACACACAACAGGTACACCACAACTACCCCACACCACACACCCCCACAAACCATGTACATACCATGCACCAAAAGCATACCACACATACATGCATACACACATCACAAACACAAGCACACACCATGCCCAAACACATAATGCACACACCACATTCCACACACCCCACCGAGATACACCACACTCGTATCACACTTTCCACACATGCACAGACATATCACTCTCCACATACCACACATCATACCCAACATGAACATGTGTGTATATGCATGCAAGTATGCACACACATCACAAACACATCATGTACACACCATAATTCACACACACCACAGAAACATACCACACTCATATCACACATACCACGCCACACTCATATGACATTCACAACACACACCATGCACAGATACACCACACACCCCCACATACCACACACACACACACACAAACACAAACTCCGCACACACACATCACACTCACATCACACACACCACACCACACACCATACATGCCCCCTACATCCCACACTCCCCCCACATCCCACACATCTACACAATTGTACATCCCCCCCAACCCTACACCATGCACACACACACACTCTCACACTTCTCATACATACACATGCACCACACAACTTGTGTTACCCTGGCTTGGGCCTCATTAAATAAAGGTTCTCGCTCCTGGGAGAGTCCCTAGACTCCTACCCGCCCCGTCCCTTCCAGCAAGACACCCCCACCCCGGGCTGTTCTGCCACCTAAACCCTGTCTGTACAGAAGACAGAATGCCCCGCAGTAGGCTGCAAAAATTGACCACTGTGCTTTGGGGCTGGGCTGCATATTTTGGACAACGAGGGGCTCTGGGACTCCCTGCTTCCTAGGTCTGCCTCAGACCAGTTAAGTGGACCCGTTGCTCTGTGAAGCCTGGTGGTCAGGCGGGGAGGTGGGCCCAGCTCCCAAGCCTGGTGGTCTGGGGTTCCGTGGAGCTGGCTGCACAGGGGCCTGCGCTGTCGAGACACTCACACACAGTCTTGCGTTCACTATAGCCCTTGCCTGGCCCTTGTTATGAGCTGAGTTGTGCCCTCTACTTCAAATTATATGTTGGTGTCCTAACCCCTGGGACTCTAGAATGTGAGTGGGTCTGGAGATGGGTCTTGGCAGAGGTCATGAAATTGAAACAGGTCCTTCAGTGTGGGCCGTGACCCAAGCTGACCGGTGTCCTTGTAAGAAGAGATGAGGACACAGAGGTACACTGAGGGATGACCGACCCTATGAGGAGATGACCCAGGGAGGAGAAGCCACTATACCCCACGGAGAGAGGTGTTGTCAAGGCTACATGGCAGTAGGATTTGTCATGGCTGGCAAAGCCGACTCACACAGGCCTGGGCAGGCCCTCTGGCGAGAGGACGTCCTGCGAGAGGCCACCCAACCCTGGACCCTGCCACTGGGGGCTTGCACCAGCTTTAAGCGGCCCAGGCGCTCTGAGAGAGCTTCTGCCACATAGTGGTCATTCCTTCAGCCCCCACTGGCTCTTCGGCAGCACAGGCTCAGGGACTCGCGCGTCTTGTCTGCCTCCAAGACACAGCAGCCAGACCTTCTCTTCTCTCGCCTCCCCAGGCTCCTGACACAGTCCTTTCTTGGTTCTCCATTTACCCTCCACCTGCATGTTTCCTTTCTTTTCTTTCTTTCTTTTTTTTTTGAGTCAGAGTCTCACTCTGTCACACAAGCTGGAGTGCAGTGGCACAATCACGTCCACTGCAGTGTCAACCTGCTGGGCTCAGGTGATCCTTCCACTTCAGCCTTCTAAGTAGCTGGAACTACAAACACGTGCCACCATGCCTGGCTATGTTTTTTAATTTATTGTAGAGATGAGGTCTTGCCATGTTGTCCAGACTGGTCTCGAAACTTCTAGGCTCAGGTAATCCTTACACCTCGGCCTCCCAGCATGTTGGGATTAGATTACAGGCGTGAGCCACCGTGCCCAGCCTTGCCTGGGTATTTATTAAATTTAGGGGCCCTAAAGCCTGTGGCCTGGGGCTGCTTTGCCCGCTCTGAGATGGCTCTGGGATCCTGATAGGACAGATATGCCTGAGAGGCCATTCACAGGGCTAGAGCCTGGCTCCTCTAGGCTGGGGAGAACCAGCCCCTGTACCCCAGTGGACCTTGCCATCGGAGAGTGGCAAGAGACCCTAGGGGTTCTCTGGAGCCACCCTCCATACATGGGGTGCCCAGATGACTTCATGGTCACCATAACTACTGTGGAGACAAGGTCATGCGGATCGCCCATGGGCACCAAGCTGACCACCATCTGACAACAGCCTCAAGGGTCAGTACTTTGTCCTGAGAGACAGAAGTTCAGGCGGGGCCTCATTCAAGGCTGCCCCTTTTCCCCGGCAAATGGCCAGGCCTAGAAACCTCCGGGCCCCTGCCCCAAATTTGCCTCACTGGGCTTAGGTGCAGAGGCTACCCATGTGGGGCAGGATGACATAGGCTCTTTTTTTTTTTTTGAGTTGGAGTCTCACTCTGTCGCCCAGACTGGAGGGC